GGTCTTCGGTCACCCAATTTTGTCAAGCACGTCATGAATTCCAGAATTACAATACATTATTCTCTAACATTATGTGACATTTTTTCAGATTCACAATCTTCATAAACAGTGTCGTACACCATCAATTCCAACGCGTGGGAAACCACTTTTTCAATTCACCTTTTGGGCTTTAGAGCTCACGTGTAGTGTCACGTGACTTTTGATGTAAACAAACCTCAAAGTTCGGACATTGAGTCGAGCTCGCAGCATATGTGTTCAAACTTCGGCTTTGGAAAATTTTCTTAAATAACTTCCCACTTTCAAGAGTGTTTCTTCGCTCAAACTTGGCATCTTTCTTTTATCATTTGTTTGATCGTTCATCAAGCAAGTTGTCATTTCACTGCCGTTGAAGCAGATGCGAAGAATGTTGCAGGAAGCGTTGCGGCATGGAACAATTGAATTAGTTCTGCGTACAGTGATGTCTCTGATCAGGTATTCTCGGGGTGTTAAGTGCGTAGATTGTTAACTAAAATCACTTCTGTCAGGAAATTAGTGCGCACGAATCAAACACTTGCTGATTGGTCGAAAAAATCATGCGACTATCATATGACCTCAAAACAATAGCAATGCTACGACTCACTTCCTCGGGAAAAGTTCCTGTTGAATTACATCCTCAACTTCCTGTTTTTCTGAGAAAAATGATGTAAGATCATATTGTTTGTCTCCTACCGTATTCCAACGCTTTGATATTCCATCAAACAATTCCATCAAACGATTTTATCAAAAAATTTCATCAAATGATTTTGCCACATAATTTCCATTATTTGGAAATACGTATAAAGAGTTGGCTTTTTTTTATGCCATCACTTTGTCAAAGTGATCACGTACCGCCATCCCCTATACTACTCTCGGGAGAGAATTATTATATGAAATTAGTTTGTCTACTCCTGTAGATCATTGGAAGTAAACGAAGTGGGTGGCTAACTGTTTTCTTTCTTGTGTCACGCAATGTTCCATAAAAAAAATTCTGAAATTTTTAAAAGCACCCGAGTTATTTCGAAAAACGTATCTTCAAATAAAACTTGTTAAAGCAGGAAGCTGTCATAATCTTGGACCTGGGAGAATCGCCAGGGGGAATTTTCGCGGCAACCATTCATGTTGAGGCTCGATTTTCATGTTATTTTCATATTTTGTTTACATCGCGCACTTAACAAAATTTACACGTGGAAGCTCTTTGCTTATTGAAAAATCTCTGCTCAGGGAAAAATCAAAAGCGGAAGAAAATCCTTACTTAAAAAAAACAGGCATGCTATGCATGCAAGAATTGTTTTTTGGGGGTGGGTGGATTACTTGAAACATCGTAAGTGATGTCTACATTTTTACAAAAGGAAAAAGAGTATTAACGCGAGAAACAACGAAAATGTCGAATTAACTCACACATAGGTATTTTGTGGTAGACTGTGTGTGTTGTGCGAATAACCGTAACCAAAAATAAACTGTATTGGTGCCAGGGATACCCGTTGGAACAAAATGCAGACTGCAGACTGCAGACCGGTAACAAAATGTGGACTAGCTACAAAATGTAGACTGCAGACTGCAGAGTGGGTACAAAAGGAGCGTCACGCAAACGCTTTTCCGCGATCAGCTTTCACGATTATTTGCACTATTGTGGAATATTCCTGACCCATTTCTTGATGAAAATCGATCTAAATATAATTTCAAGCCTTCATATCGTCTTCTCACTTTGCACGCGAGTTGGTCGGTGTGATGTCTATACAGATTTTACGAACGTAATAAAAGTAGATGTAGATGTAAATGAGACGTCACTATTGAATTTTTAACACGCGCAACATTCGAGAAACAATTGACAGCTTTGCACGTGGTTCGTATTATCATCTTTTTAAGCGGTATGTGTTTATTTTGTTGACAAAAATGCGGACCGAGAGCAAAACTATTCCTTCGACTTGATATATTTTCGACGTTAGTAGATCACATCATATTTACTTACATCCGTAAATCACTCATTCCAGATAACAAGATCAAATAAACATACTAACGATGGTTTCTGAATTCGTCCTTAGCCAAACACAAACGACTCCACAAGATCACTTTCTCCAGGTATCGAAAACATATACAAAATCGTCCAGGGTTAATTTCAATCAGATATGCATCTTGAGATAGCATCGAGCAAACCAATCCAGAAAATCACGAATCTTGCAACACAGCGTGCTGTTAAAGAACTGCTAAAATCAAAATGTTTGGTGCAATTCATCAACACCTCAAGCAATATTTGATTCAAAATTTTTCCACTCACTCTCGTCGTGAAGGAACAATAATCACGATCGTGCTACAGTGCACAGAACTCCATCTTCTCTAACACAACTATCCACCATTTTCACAGCATGAGTAACACGTTTACTATGGGTAATCTGACATCTTTCATCTGTTCAGTAGTATCGCATTTCTCATAAAGCGGGGTAAAATGTGCGTTAAAAACACAGAAAAGCCAAAATTTTTCATTTCATCCGAATCTTCGTTGAAATTTGAAGACATCTTAAACCAAAGAACGAAAACGACGCTCTGATTGGTGCGAGATACATACCTTAAACGATCTGACTGGTGCAAGCGTCATACCACTCTCTAAACGCTAACATAGATGTTATTAGTTTTTTTTTTTTTTAAATAACTCAAAAAGGGAAAAGAAAAAACAGGCTTGAAGAAGAAAGAAAGAGGTCCATTCTGTCAAGAAAAGAAATTCATTTGAGAAAGCGACTGGTACTGGCGGAGCTCCACGCTGGCGTCCAGATTTCGAACAAAGAAGTCGCCGTCAAACCAAAATTTTCCATACACTATTTAAAACGAAGTTTCCTTTTCTTTCTGCAAGCCTTGATAGAAAAGCATCAACAATCGCCTCGAATCGTAATTTTTGAAAGCTGTCTGTCGATTCTTTGTCTTGCTCCTCTGCACATTTTTCCGGTTTTTCCATTTTTGCTACGGGTTTTTCCTTTGCCTTTGGCAACTTTGCCCATTACTATGTCGTCCTCCCCAACGCTTCAATGAGCGATCGAGATAAAAAAAAAAAACCTGTCTGCAATTGGTTACTTTTCCCGGGAAATCCTGATCTATCGCCATTGACTGCAGGAGGTCCCGTCGTTCCATTGGTTTGCGGTTCCATGGGGCGAGATAATCTCCTGGTGTGGCGCGAGTTGTTTGTGGCCTTTATGAGCTAAAATCTCGCATTTGATTTTGGGAGGAATACAACCACTTTGGTCGAATTTATAAGGTATATCGATTTGATCGATTTTCGTCAAATTTCGCAAAAACATTTCAGGAATAATGAGAAACGAAAGTGTGTCGGGAAATTTTGATATTTGAAATATTTGTCCCGTGACGTACATTTTTGCAACACGCCTCGCATATTTTCAGCTACTCCAACTTAAGATGTTGATATCTAGACAACCAACCAGAGTATCGAAAAAGCCTGACAGTATTCTATTGATTGATGCCTTGTGAATAAGACTGTGCAGCCATTTTGCTCGTGCTGCGGCATCCGATACTCGATAAATTTAGTGGAAGAACCTTCGGTCGTTTCACGCCTCACCGGCTCCTGACACTTCTTTTAAAGAAAAGTCCCTTAAATTATATTTTTATCGTAAACTGCAATTATTGAGCTTTCTTCTGATGTATAGTTTGCTAGATCTTAGTGAAACTAGCGCGCGTACGAATTTTTTCCCGAAGGAGACTCGCGAAGGGGGAAGTAAACTTACATGCTGTTCGTTTTCCTAAACGGAGTCTTGAGATCACAAATGAAATATTTCAACCTTGGATTTTGTTTTGCTGTTTTGTTTGCGCTTTAATAAGGCTCCACAGTAAATTTGCTTGGGCACACATACAAAAAAAATTTGCAAAGGTGCTGTCTTTAGGGTAAATAGGACAGCCTAAAATTTATTTTAATGATCAACTTTAAACTTGCAGCTGGAATAAACCTTGAGGTATGATTGATTCGAGGATCTAAGTCACGATATTTTGCATTATTCGCTCTGTCCCCTGAAAATATCTCTAACCTGAAAATAGCAAATTTCCTCTTTAGTTGTTTTTATTTCGTGTTATTGCTCACCGATTCAGGCGTTTGTCTTTGCCTTGTTATCGTATTAGTCGTGCTTTTTCATCAGGAATATGCTTTGAGCTTTTGAACTTTATGTCACAAATAATCGAACTTTTGTACTCCTTTTCTGTTAGGCATCGGTAACAGCAGTAACCAGGACACAAAGTCTTACGAACTGTTGCGTAAAACTCCTCTAGAATTTTGTTCAGGACCTCGGATTCATACACTTCAATACTTCCGTCACAGCCGTTGTTTGGAGGCCCTTGACTTCCAGACTCACAGCCAGTTGTTTGCGCTTTGTTGGATGTTTTTGCTCTTAGATTCATCAAACTCTGAATTAAAACGTTGCTACTTTCTCGTGAGCTGTCCGCCATTTTGTTCTTCTGTGTTGTTGCGACTTTCCTGTCAATCAATTTAATCGCAATTTTCTCCACTCAATTTCAACTTTCTAAACTATTTGGGAATAATTAAATGAGCCAATGAGCATGCTGATATTTTTGTACGCATAATTTTACAAACAGATACATTATCGAAGTGTGTGACATCCTAACCCTAACCTCTCTGTCAAGGTTTCAAACTGTAATCGCGACTGAACCCCTTGTGTTTAAAGGGCCAAGGTTATGGGTTTCTTTTGGTATAATTGTGTGCTTACTTAACATACACGCCCAAAACATCAAATTTTCCGATCAGTACTCTCTGTCTGCGATTCATACTCACATAGAAATAGATGAATATTTCCTAGTTAAACTAAACGCAGTACGTTTTAATCCTATTCTATTAACCATTCATACCATTATAAGCAGAGGCGTTTGATATTGGCCAATAGACTTAAACTTCGTCATCTATTTCGCAGTTTAGGTCACAGAGGAAAGGAAAAACTCGGTTCTGATCCTGTCATCTTTTGTCCTCTACGAAAATGGATAAGTCTCCGGAACCAGACGAAGTGCTTCGCTCTTCGAAAGGGAGAAACAATTTTCAAAGTCTGGCTCGGCTTTTGATAAGTGGTGGTACTGCGCTACTGAGGGAGGTTTTTGACATCAAATGTCCTCCAAGTAATCTTCCTACAATACTTCAGAATCCAGCCAAAAGGAGGCTACTTAAGGCAGCAAAGCTCAGCAAATCACAGAGGGACTGCCTGTACCCCTCTCCAGGGATGTATGGAAAGTCAACAGACTTTGATATGACTCTCCTTTTCCGGTTGCTGAGGACGATATGCGGATTCGCCCCTCCTGCCACGGGCTGGGATTGTTTACCTTCAAGTACAGACCACAGCTTTGGAGCTGATTTAGCGAGAATTAAATATTACCGCAATTCGATATATGTTCATGTGAACGAGAACATGGAAATAGCAGATGATGAGTTTTCAAGTCTTTGGAGAGAAATCAGCGAGGCTCTGGTGAGAATTGCGGGTCAAATCAGCCCTGCAAAGGCAAGAGAATGGAAGAATGTTATTGATACATACAAAGATGAGTTCGGAGGGAAAATAGAATCTATAGCCCAAGAAGTGCAGCGTTTGAGGCAAGAGCTTCGAGATGAAGCCCAAGACATCAAAGATCGATTAAAAGTGGCTGGCCAAACCAATTCCTCAGCTGGAGGTCAGCTTATTGACTTTTTTCTGTGTATCTGTTACAAATAATATATATATTTTTTCTCCAACATAGCCGCCTACTTAACGTATCAGGGTTACCTGTACACTGCATGTTGTACACTTATTTTGACATAAAAGGCTGCGTATGTTTTTGAGGTGGGAAAAAAATGTTAATTAGTTATATATAGTTACTTGACTACAGCCGGGCGACAACTCATATTAATAGTCTGTTTTGCCTTTTTGTCAATGGTTAGTCGCTGCAATTAATGACACTTGTTCCCCTTGCAGTTACAATTCGAATACGGATTGATTGTGAGACCATCCCAGACCCTTATCCGGGACATGAGAAATTAGAGACAGTGGTTGTAGCCATGCAGGGTACCCAAGCTTGTGGCGACGAGCTGGTAGTTACTGGAGCACCAGAAGGAACGCCTGAAGGCACACAAGATACCCAGGCCGAAAGCCACGAGATGGTAGTTACTGAAGTTAAGCGTAGGGCAGTGGAACCTGTTGCATCTGCTGGTCTACCACTCGTGGGAAGAACAGAAAGTGTCGAAGAAGCAAGGAGAAATAATTTTCAACGTCTGGCTCGGCTTTTGATAAGTGGAGGTACTCTGCTATTGAGGGAGGTTTTTGACATCAAATGTCCTCCAAGTAATCTTCCTACAATACTTCAGAATCCAGCCAAAAGGAGGCTACTTAAGGCAGCAAAGCTCAGCAAATCACAGAGGGACTGCCTGTACCCCTCTCCAGGGATGTATGGAAAGTCAACAGACTTTGATATGACTCTCCTTTTCCGGTTGCTGAGGACGATATGCGGATTCGCCCCTCCTGCCACGGGCTGGGATTGTTTACCTTCAAGTACAGACCACAGCTTTGGAGCTGATTTAGCGAGAATTAAATATTACCGCAATTCGATATATGGTCATGTGAACGAGAACATGGAAATAGCAGATGATGAGTTTTCAAGTCTTTGGAGAGAAATCAGCGAGGGTCTGGAGAGAATTGCGGGTCATATCAGCCCTGCAAAGGCAAGAGAATGGAAGAATGTTATTGATACATACAAAGATGAGTTCGGAGGGAAAATAGAATCTTTAGCCCAAGAAGTGCAGCGTTTGAGGCAAGAGCTTCGAGATGAAGCCCAAGACATCAAAGATCGATTAAAAGTGGCTGGCCAAACCAATTCCTCAGCTGGAGGTCAGCTTATTGACTTTTTTCTGTATATCTGTTACAAATAATATATATATTTTTTCTCCAACATAGCCGCCTACTTAACGTATCAGGGTTACCTGTACACTGCATGTTGTACACTTATTTTGACATAAAAGGCTGCGTATGTTTTTGAGGTGGGAAAAAAATGTTATTTAGTTATATATAGTTACTTGACTACAGCCGGGCGACAACTCATATTAATAGTCTGTTTTGCCTTTTCTGTATATCTGTTACAAATAATATATATATTTTTTCTCCACATTTTTAAAAGATCCCCTCACAGAGGAAGACAAGAGACATGAGCAGGAATTGCAGCGGTGGTACCAAAACGATAGAGAAGTAAAGAAATACCTGGAAAAAGCAGAATCTTCAATGAAGCATTTGGAGAAAGAAGCTCAATACTTAAGACAAGTGGTTCGAGAAGAAGCCAAAGATATTAAAGATGAGCCCGGAGCGAAAGAAGAATCTATAGCCGAAGAAGTGCAGCGCTTAACACATGACATCAAAGATAAGCTTGGAGGGAAAGTAGAATCTACAGCCCAAGAAGTGCAACGCTTGAGGCAAGAGTTTCGAGATGAAGGCCAAGACATCAAAGATCGATTAAACGCGGCTGGCCAAACCAATTCCTCAGCTAGAGGTCAGCTTGTTGATTTTTTTCTGTATATCTTTTACTAAAAGAATATTTTTTTTCCTTTAACATAGCCACCTACGTTACGTATTAGGGTTACCTGTGCCATGCACACTGTACACTTATTTTGACATAAAAGGCCGCGTATATTTTTGAGGCGGGAAAAAAATGTCAATTAGTTATGTATAGTTACCTGACTACAGCCGGACGACAATTCATATTAATGGTCTGTTTTGCCTTTTTTGTTAATGGTTAGTCGCTGCAATTAATGACATTTGTTCCCCTTACAGTTAGAATTCGAATGCAGATTGATTGTGGTAGTAACCCAGACCCTCATCCACGTAACCAAGCTTGTGACGACGAGCTGGTAGTTACTGGAACGTCAGAAGGAATGCCTGAAGGCACACAGGATACCCAGGCAGGAAGCCAAGAGATGGTAGTTACTGAAGTTAAGTGTAAGGCAGTGGATCCTGTTTCATCTGCTAGTCTACCACTTGCGGGAAGAAGAGAAGAAGAAAAAGCAGGTGTTGGAAGCGATGATGTTGCACCCTCCGCACAAAGAGTTATGAATTTTATCGCGGACAAGTACTTTCAGACAATTGACACAACCAAACCTGAGGAATTAAATGGTTTTGTACGGTATTTAAAAGATGTGCGCAAAGTTCTGATCTTGGATACTCAATCAGGAAGTTTGATATTGATAGCACTATGTAGTTCATTGGAGATACTGGATGCCCTGTGGTATGACTATTGCGCAGGTCACCTGAATAACATGGTACAGAAACATCTTTTGACAAAGGACGTTCTGAAGAAGTTTGACTCGACCGAGATGAAACTGACAATAACTATTGAGAGGGAGGAGTACATCACCGCACGAAAGTTTTTTCTTCAGGGTTCAGGTGAGCACATACAAAGTGTTTTGGAGAGCTGTCTTCAACCGAATAAATAGGGTATTGTCTTCGTCAGTGCTTCAAAAGGCTTGAAAGTTATGTTTTTTTAAGCTCCCTCAAGCTTGTTTACAAATTTGTTGTTTCACCACATTCAGAGAGGCACCATTCAAGAAATTTAATGATCAGAACTGATACTTGTGCTCTCATTACCATTGAATTAGAAGCTTTTGAAGCGAGTTTAGGGCTTGCTATTTTTCTGTTCTGTCCATTGTTCTTGACACTTGTCCATCGATTTTGTAATTGATTAGAGTCGACAATCACCAAGTTTTAACCTTTTCAATTGAAACACTTGACAGCAATTAAATTGAACGTTTGTTTAGACACAACACGCTGACGCAACAATTTTCTGTTCTGCATATTGCTGTTCCCCAGCTGTTTGATGATGCTCGATACTCTTGGATTGAACCGAAAGTTTTGTATCAAAATCACATATTCAATTATTTTTCTATTATATTATGAATGACTCAAATAAATGGTATTGATTTGTGTTTTTTTTAGTGAATCATTTGTTGTCCTGCCTGCATCTACAGAACAGCAACTTCTGTTGCTACTGTGTCTTTTTTCATCCCCATGGTTGAATAAGTTATGTAAACTGGGATAAGTTCCACCAATGTGGGAAACTTGGCACGTTATGAGACACTACCTAACCTTTTAATGACACTACTTTTTCCAGAATTCCAAACTGGAGTTGCACTTGCTTCAGATGAAGATAAGGATAAAACAAACAACATTGTTGCGATGGCTATGGAGTTTGAAGCCAAGCACAGAGAATGTGTCCGTGTTTTAACCTACACATATGATGGTCATGTCAAGGTTAAGTTGTATGTGCTTTCTGGAAAGACTGGCATACCTGAAGCATTAAAAGCTGCTGCTCAAGATTATTTTAAGGAGATGAATGTGAAACTCGAATGGTTAGATCTTTACAAGGATGCAGATGAAATTCTCCAGATTAGACCTCTTGAGTATCCATCTGGTAAGCGAAATGCATTGAATGAGTCCCAAGTGGATGACATTAACAAAGTCATTTCTGAAAATCTCCATGTTCTTGTCAGGCATCGTAACATCACTGCTGTGCAACCCTCACTTAAAATCAAAGATTCTAAGCAGACGGAAACCCCTTGTATCACATTGTATGTTCTATCTAAAGGTGTCATCCCAGATGGTGAATGTCCCTTCCCACTCAAACTTGGTTCTTACCTAGTGGATGTTGTGGACGGAATGTGGTTCAGAACTGATGATCCTTGGCTGCCAAATGAAGCACAGGAACAAAGCGAAGTACTTTGTTTGGGAGCAAGTATTGGTGTGCAAGGAGAGGATGCAGCCGGGACCTTAGGTGCCATTGTGAAAGATGGTGAAACCTTTTATGTACTGTCCTGCGATCATGTTATGAGACATAGTACAGAGCTAAATATAATTCATCCTGCACAGAATGATCATTTGAATTATCTAAATTACCATTTACAACAGTATGGAATGCGGATTAAGCACATCATTGACAAGGAAAGTTGCCACATACTGGCAAACCAGTTCTCATTTGGCCATATTGCGGGGCTGGAAGAATTGTCAAATAAATTTCAAGAGCTGAGAGGGATCAAAGAAACCCACCTACACCATGCAAGGGCGACAAAGAGGAAATTAGAGGCTGTAAAGCTGCATGAAGAAGCTTTTGAGAGAGGTTTGACACCACCCAGGGTCATAGCAAAATACTCTGTTGGCATCTCCGGTAATGTGACTTGGAATGATGGTCAACAATACTACGTTGATGCTGCCCTGGCTGAGTTGACTTCAGAGGAAGTTGATAGTTTAAGACAGAGTCAAACGGCTGAAATGATTGAAACAGGAGATCACCTAAGTGGGGAATTTAGTTCAATACGAAAAGCCAGGGGGGAACTGTGCAAGAGCGGCCGAACCACAGGATTCACTAGGTCTGGTTGTCATGTGGAACCATCTATTTTTCTCCGTGCAAACTTTGGTAGAGTGAATGACCAAAATGACTCTTTGTTCAGTATTCGTAAAAATGTCAGACTGTGTCAAAGTTGTGGGGAAAGATCTGGAATTGGAGCGCAATTGGAGTCTACTGCCGCTCCTTGTGACTCTTGTGAAATAGACACACCCACTCTACGTGACAGTCTTTGGTTCAAGAACTGCTTATGCATAGACAATGAGTCTCATGTTGGTGAGGCAAAAGTTTTTGCCACTGAAGGAGATTCTGGAGCAGTACTCTTTGAAAGAAATAATGATGGAAATCTTCAAGCTTTTGGCATTATCTTTGCCGAGCTTCAATGTTCATATAAACTAATGACTTTAGCCACACCAGTGCAAATTGCTCTTGAACGCTTATCCAGAAAGATTTCCGAGAATACCAACTTAACACTGCTTTCAAACTATGAGTGACTACGGACGCAAATTGAAACTTTAATTGATGTAGATATGCTTATTGTTGATCAAAGTTTGTACTCGTGGATGTTTTTTTTCAGTGGGAGAGGGGAGGTTATACCCTTCGAATGCTAGTGACAAATGCCGTCCTCACTTCAAGAAACCGTTACCTCAACTGTTTATATATATATTTGAACCATTCTAACAGGAATTCTGATAAGCTTATTGTAGCGTTCTTTATGAGAGTATAGAGCATGCTGACGACACTGTTGTTCGCTTTGGAAATAAAGTTTGTTTTGAAAATTGAATGTAATTCTTGGGAAATTTAACGGATTCTTTATTATAAAACAAATAGAGAAGCCTTGACTGTGCTCTGTTCTGTTGTAAAGCACTCGGGAAGCAGTTAGAGCACGAAAGAAGTGTAGGGGGAAACACGAGACGTAGTCAAGGCTTCTCTATTTGTTGAATAACAATGCATTTCGAAGACTTAACTGTACTCGAACAAATACATTTGAAAACAAATTCTCTAACCTTTCTGCTATTGTTCCTTAGACATTGCAGAGTTCGTGCTGGAATACTATTTGGTTCACGATCACGTCTAAACATACGATGACGCTTCTGAAGATGCTTTTTGTAAAGATTAAGATCTGATAGCTCATTTGGTAATACATGATTCCCGATAGGTTCCCTAAAATGTTTGCTGGTAAATTGATCTTTCATAAGGCATGCGGACCGACCCGTTCCGAATATGCTCAACTTCTTTTTGTGTGGGTCTACCGCGAACGGCGTGTTCGTTTCTATGTGATTTCAGCTCCTTTGAAGTCAGGGAATCCATGCTATAACCCTTCAAACAACAACTTCTCATTACTATGTGCTCAGCTGAGAGACCGCTCAGAATCCCTACTTTACGCATGTGCCGAAGTGCTTCATTCTTTAAACAATAAGGTCCAGAAGCGACGATTTGATGCCCTACCATTCTTGCCCTTATGTCATCTTTTTGACGGGCTTTCCCCTGATACGTTGCGAATTGTCTGACGACACTACTCAAGAAACACAGACCGTAATGCGATGTAGTTCGAAGGGTTTCGGAGAGGAGGGTTGTCAGTAAATTTTTCACAAATTGGGGAGGGTCAAACCTGTTTTATTCGCAACCGGGGGAGGGTCACAGTTTTTTTGGCGAGGAAAAAATTACCTCATGTCGCTTAGTTTACTTTTATTTGTTAGCAAACACGCGAAGTGTACAGAATCCTAAAACTTGTATATACAAGCAAAGCTACCAGTCAAGATTAATCTAAATTATTTACAGGTGTCCAAATATTATATCAAGAAACTATCTTCTCCCAACTAACACAATCGTCTCTCCCGTTCCCGCTTTCGTCCATATTTTGACGGCGGTAATGTTTCCGGGCGGGGTTCCAGTGGCGGTTCTGCTTTGGCATTCGCGACTTCCGTTTTAGCGCGTTTCCCTGTTTCAATGGGAAAAATTAACGCCACTTTGTCTCGAGCCTTCTCCAACAGCTCCATGGTTTCGCTGACAGTCTTTTTGATTAATTTCAAACTATCCAGAAATTCTTCATTCGCATCATGACTAAATTTGTGTCCAGATTAACTATGTCGTCCGTTTTAATCGAACAGCGCATTATCATCTTCAGTTACTTTCGCATTCAGCTCATCAATTTTGACCTTCGGCTTCGAAAGGTCATCAATGTTGTTCTTAATCGTGGTAGCGTCATGGCGTTTTGCGCTAAAAAATTTTCCTCCATGAATCTCCCGGCAGCCGCTGGATTATCAGAAGTCACAAAAGCCAACTTGTGATTTATTGCTTTCAAAGCCTCGCGAACTTCCCACTGGCGCTTTCTTTCAGTCACGAGACAACGGCTAGAGCGTTCCTTGTAGGGAAAAGTGGTCCAAAAAGACAGGTTGAATTTTGGCAGAATGCTATTGGAGAATTCAGTTTATTCGCCCTTTGGGTTCGGGAACCACCCCAGGTCTTCATCTTTCCATTTCTCTGGCCTTGCACTTTGGTTCCGATTGGAGGAGTTGGGGGAAGGATCAGATGTTTTTGTGTAGGTATTTGTGAAGGGTCATGCATTAATCCATTCTGGGAAGTGAGAGGGCCACGACTATTTTCGCAAAAAATTTCTAAAATACCCCGACCCACCCCTCCAATAAAAAACGTACCCCATTGTCGTTTCTGAACCTCACTGTTCGAAAAAATGGAGCACTTTAGCGCATGCGTAGAGTAGGGCATTTAAGCGGTCTCTTGGCGCTCAATACACAGCCGACGCCTGGCCGAGCATTTATTGAGGAAAAGTTCCCCCTGGTAACATATCGCAAGGATCCCATGTGTCCAAGGGAGCTGAAGTCACAGTAGATCCACGCGGATAGAAGTTGACCTTACTCGGAACGTGTTACTCTGCATGCTTTGCATAAGATCAATGTACGAGCGAACATCTCAGAACGAACCTATCAGTAAGCTATCAAACCTTAATCTTTTTAAACATTATTTTCAAAAGCGTCATCGTATTTAAGACGTGATCGTGAACCAAATAGTATCTGAGCACGAACTCTACAACGTCTAAGGAACAAGATCAGAAAGGTTAGAGAGTTTGTTTTCAATTTATCTGTTCGAGTATCAATCGAGTACACTAAGTCTTCGAAATGCATTGTTATATTAAGGTTACGAATTGTAATTAGCCAGACAGTCCTATTTAATGCAGACAGAATTACCAATTATGTTAAATGTGCTTGATACAGACTATGAACTGGAATACAGTGAAAGTTACACTGGTACTGTTGTGTTTACAAAGTGGATGTGTGCAGATGTAATATCTATTGATGACCACACCTTGGCACAGAAATTTCTATTTCTTGAGACCTTTGCAGTCACATATGACACTGACACTTAATTTGTTTCAGATATATGAGATTGTGATGAGTTATGTTTATGAATTAGATGCGTGCAGATTTAATATCTACTGATGACAACACCTTGGCACAGCAATTACTATTTCTTGAGGTCTTTGCTGTCACATATGACACTGACACTTACTTTTTAATACATTTTGTTTACACAGATCTAATATCTCATGATGAAAACACTTGTTTCAGGTATTAACACATAAGATCTTGTTTTGTTCTTCTAATATTAAGTTGGAGTCAGATCCAGTTTAACATTTACATACTAGTTAAAATTACTTTTTGTATTGTTATGGAGGTCAGATCAAGTTATACCTATTGGTGTGAATCATTCTGCCGGTATTGTCTGTCATTCTTTGACAGGGTGGTGTAGGCGCAAAAATTTGTACTATCATTTTTTGTTAGTGTTGGTGTTTCATAGTTTCGTGTTAGGTGTTTATTTTCTCGTCTTCCATTAGTGTCCTTTGTCAATTATCAGTTTTGTACTTGTTATATTTATTTGCATATCGTATATATATTGGTTGCGCGTAATTTATTTGGTTAGTTGTCTAGTTTGTGAAAATTACCGTTACATATCTAGCTCTGGGTTTCATGTTTTCGTCTTTGGGTTGGTCACATTCGTCTTGTAAGTATCCTTGTTTATCTCGCTTTGTCGTTTTCCAGTACTTTCACTCATACGATGTAAGTCATTTTATGCTCATTCGCGTGTTTGTAATTTTGTCATTTTCAGTTACCGTATTCAACAATGTGTCAAGTTTGTTCTAGTAAAGTTTGAAATACGTGTGATTAGCGTTTGCGGCTATAGGTGGATAAACATATAAGAGTTACAAATTTTAAAGTGCAAGATTATAACTTTGACAGGGTGGGTAATCATACAATAAAATACAATACATACCCAAGGTGTTCAAGCCAGAGGCTCAAACTATCACCAGATGTAAATAACTAAATAATGACATGGAAATGTCTTTTCATTCATTTTTATTTTTCTTCAGTAAATATATATGGAAACACAGTAATTTAAAAGCCACACTGAATAGTCCATTTTACAGTTGTGTGCTTGGTTGCCAAGCCTTTGTACAGGAATGAGGCTAAGGGTGACCTTGTTATGATACAAACCTTGCTGCTTTTCAAATGCAAATTACTTTGTTATCATGCTAACTAGATACTGGTCTCTATCACAACAAGGTCACCTTCAGCCTCACTCCAAATCAAAGGCTTGGCAACTAAGTTCACAACTGTAAAATGGCCTATTGTTGACAGAGTAATTTAAAAGCTACACTGAATTTTTGAAAACAAGTTCTAAACTCAAACTATGCGACATTAAAAGAAAATTGGTGTAAAATGATTAATGAGAGGAAAAGCATTTACTTCATGCCCCAGCGTTACAAACAAGAATAAAGTGTAGACTTTTTGTAAACTATTAAATGTTCAAATTCGTAGATGACCATTCGATCTCATCACATAGGTATAAAACTGATATGGAAATCTCGCAAATAGAAATATCAATAGAAGAGGTGAGAGAGCACTTGAATGGGCTAGACATCTCAAAAGCCAGTGGTCCTGATGGCATCCCAGCGAGACTGCTCAAACAATGTAGCGAACAAATAGCACCAAGTCTCTGCGCTATTTTTAACAATTCACTTAAAAGCGGCAAAATTCCAAGTGAGTGGAAATCGGCGGACATAACACCAATTCACAAGAAAGACTCAAAAGAACCCGCCGACAACTATAGACCTATTTCGCTCATTCCCATTGTAAGCAAAATACAGGAACGCTGCGTGTTTAATCACCTTTATGAGCACGTCATACATCTGATCACCCTCTTACAGCACGGGTTTCTACGAAATCGATCGTGTGTCACACAATTACTGTCTGTTCTACACACCATAGGACAGTACCTGGATAAAAATGTACAGACGGACGTGATCTATTTGGATCTCGCTAAAGCGTTTGACACGGTGGACCATTGTATTCTCCTGTCTAAGTTAAGGGCCTACGGCGTTTCGGGGCAGCTACTAGCCTGGTTTTCAGACTATCTAAACGAGCGCGTCCAACGTGTAGTTGTTGATGGTGCTGTCTCGCAATGGGCACCAGTCACTTCCGGTGTCCCTCAGGGGAGTCTGTTGGGACCCCTGCTCTTCACGATCTTTATAAACGACCTGCCTGATGCAACTGCAGGAGGTGCGATGGCTGCATTATATGCCGACGACACCAAGGCATATCGCAGCATCAAAGGTGTTGAGGACTGCATATCTCTGCAGAACACTTTAACCAACATGAACGCATGGGCCATGCGAAATAACATTCGCTTTAACTCATCAAAATGCAAAGTCCTCTCAG